GCAGCAGCAGCAGGGGCCCAACGTCCCCCGCGGCCCGGCCTCCTCCGGGGATCCTCATTTCCCTACGCTGTTACATATACATATGAATCACCACCTCCAATCTCTGGCGCGGACTGGACTCTGGACGTCTCCATATGCGGCCGCCCCGTCCCGCCGCCCCTCTGCCGCTGCTGGAGGCCGCCCTGCCCTGCCGGTGCGCGCGCGGCGCGTGAACACGCACGCGAGGAGAGGGTCGGGTGCACCGCCCGTGCTGCTCACTCTACCGACCGACTGAAGAGCACACACACTCGTTTCCATCTTCGAGGAACTTACAACCGGAACAACGAGCATCATTGTAACGTTTTTATATGCGCGAGCGGGAATCGTCCAATTATTGCAGGGGTGGCCGCTTTGCCCCGTTGGAGCGATCGGGTATGCTAGCCCGAACGCACGAGTGCGGCCGGGTTGCCTATTCGCAAGGCGCCTCCAGGCAGGCGGTCGGTGCCGCGCGACAGCATGCGGGCTGTAAGCGCTCATTCGTTCCGACGAGACGAAGTGGCCACCCTGTATCTGTGAGGCCGTGTGAGGCATTCCACGGTGGAGCTGTCCCGCCCGTGTCTGCTGTTCGACGAGTCCGCGGTTAGCTGAGCGGCTCACAGCAGCTCGCCGTGTTGGAGATGGGCGAGGCGACGCGCCACGGAACGCTGCTCTGGCACAGTGCTGGCACCGTGTCAAGTACTGCTTGAATTTAATTCGAGGAGAAGCCAGCGGTGGTGGTGGTGGGGACTGTACGCCGGCTAACGCACAGCGACAGCCATGCTCCAACACACGGTAGCTGGGCAGCAGCCCCGAGGGCGCTGCCCAGCCAGCCAGCCCAGCCACATCGGCAGCAGGGAGCAGCAGAATACCGCCATCAGATAGCACAGCACGCACACTCACACACGCACACACACACACTCAGGAATACACGCAGTTAAGCTGAGCAGCGCGTTCGAAAATAGCCAACATCTCCCCCATCTCTGTCTGCACACTCAGTGACACAGCCGCTTCTCTAAGGACTCGCGCAAACAGCCCAGCAGCAGCAGCCCGCCTCGACGGCTACCTGGTCCAGCGCAGCGTCCCAGGGGACCGCCAAGCACGCTGCCACCGCCAGGTAGGGACCCCCCCCCTCCCCTCCCCCTTACCTTCCCCTTCCCGACGCACCTTCCTCAATCAAGGTGTGAGACAGGAGGGGGGGGGGCATTGAATGGCTGCTCGGGAGTGGAGAACAGTGCCAGTGTTCGCCCCGACCGACGGCGTCGTCCTGACCAGGCCCACCCCAATCCATCACCCCTCTGACGATACTCACAAACCCGCAATAATCTTCTCATCGTAAAACCTTCAGGCCTTGTTCAGAGGCGTCCTCGGGGCCCCGCTGCCCACATGAACAGGGCCGCCGGCCGCCGCCTCTGCTCTGCCCGTGCCGGGCCGGGAGGGAAGTCTCTCCCACGGACAGCGCGGCCCAGAGGCGGCGGCGCCCGGCCCGGCAGAGACACGAGCACGCCGTCATGCGCGCCGGCGGCGTCCTTGAAGACCTCGCGGCATGCAAATGGGCCGGGGTCGACTCCACGACGGCGTCCTCGGCGCTCGCCCGCCCCGCCCCGCCATACCAGCCGGCTCAACAGGCGGCGCGGCGGCGGCGATGCGTGCTGCATCGCGATGGGCGCTCGGCGCGGGGGCCCCGTCAGCCACCGCCTTCCCTCGGCGGCGACGCGAGCCTCGCTCCCGTGTCCACCCTGGTCCTTCCCCCGGCATGGCACTCACCTGTCTCAGCCAGCACGGCGGCCAGCAGCAGCACTGCGATCGCCCAGGGCTTCATGTTGTCGTCCGAGTGGTGTATGTCCAAAGGAAGGGGAAAGTAATCCAAAGAAACACTGTCACAATCACTTGCTAAGACACTGTGGGATCCAGAGGATGGCGATGGCGCGCGCACACACACACGCACACACACAGACGGGCGAGGGGCCCCGCTCTGATAAGGCAGATAGAGCACCAGCACCCTCCCGATGATAACGCGGACACTTCCCGGCTTGCTCTCGGCGCGGTGCGGGGCGGCGCGGCGCGGGGAGGAGCGTGGCGGAGCGGCGCGGTGGTGCTCGCAGCGACAAGACTGAGCGCGGACTGAGGACCGAATCACTGAGTCACCGGCACCGGCACCGGGCGCCAGTCCTGCTGGCTGCGGTAGCGGGGCCTGCCGCCAGGGCGCGCCACCGCACGGCTCTGGCGGCGTTCGACAGGGAAGCGCAGAGAAACAAAACCATAGGGCTGCACGATATTGAGTTTTATTTCACAGCGAATCTCGTCAGTATAAAAAGAAATATACGCCCTTAATCATTCTCTCCTCTGCCCTTTTTCGACAGGCCTACACAACAATAGACAATGGGGTAACATTAAAATATTTGACATGGTCAACTTTGTTTAAATATGCAACAGCAATATATGATTAACATTTAGTTATGCTACTTCTTTTAAGACAGAACAAGTATCTCATAATGGTTAAGGGTGTAATAAATTAAGTTTTATCAGCAACTAGGAATTACTGATGAAATATTACAGCTATATCATAATAAAATATATTTATTACCTATCGAGAGTTCCACTACATCAGACCTCAATTTCTTTTAAGAAACCAAGAAAAATGTAAAAATGTAAAATCAGCCAGACAGAAAATTCCAAACATAAGCATAGAAGTCTAGATAAAATTTCTCACATCAGAAAAGTACATTGAGCATGGATCTTGCACTCATATTTGAACATGAGCAAAGAACTAAGATAAAACAGAATTTATCAGTCATAACCATATAAAACATTTAACACAGAAACTCATGGAAAGGTCAGGAAAAGGAAGAATATTTCCATTAAGATTCCAACTTAGAGCATCATCTGCAACACAACTGTTCCAGAATTGAATAACCTAATGAAGTACAGAGGAAGTACAGAGTATCACAGTAATAATGAAAGGCACTGCTCTCTGTACAAGAGCCTTGAAAATTACTATTTCAAATGGCAGAGATTGTGTGTAAATAATACGGTAGATTTAAACACCAAAAAGGATTTGAATCTGGGATAATTTTTCAGACAGAAATGAGCAATTTAGAATGTCATTACAGTTCAGAGATTGAATAAAATCTCAATCAAGTCAGAAATCAGTTTTTTGAAAGTACTTTAGTTTTGGGTCCATTGGTAAATTCAAAGTGGTTGGTTTCATTGTCTGCTATGAACCAAGTAATATACAACTTATACTTTAACAGTCAACAAAACCTCTGTTCAACATAAAACATCAGTGCAAAATATAAACCAGAAATACTTCTAAATTTCTACACCTGAGCACTTGAAGAAAATATTAAATGCAGAAAGTCTGTGCCAGGTCTGTTAAACACTGATATTTTGTGTATAAGACAGACTTAAGACTCGATGCAAATTTTTGTTAAAACTAGATACTACAACACACATGACTGGTGAATTATTTTAAGAAATAAGATTCATTGGAATGGGTGAAAAATAAATCACAAATGTTAAAACACAAAGATTGCCTTGGTTCTCTTGAAGGCATTAAGTGCAAAAATAGCACCTTCATGTCTAGATTCAAAAATGACAAACAAAAATAAAATTGGTTGAAAAGATATTTGAAAGTAAATAAGAGCATGTATCAGTGCCCTATAAACAATTCATAGCTAGTATGGACTTAAAATAATACCTATAAATTTCAAATATTTTAGATTAGTAAAAGCCACTTGTCATGAATTAAGATCAATCTTTTGTCATTACTTTCCTAATGGAAAGCGAGCTACCAAGCAAAATAGATAACTCATTCACACCAACAAACAAAAGGATGGGTAAAGTTTCATCATCAGTATCTTTTAGTCTGCCTTCCTGGCACGACGCTGCCTTGCTTTGCCTGCATTCCCTGGGGAAGATGGTGCACTGCCAGCCTCCTTTTCTTCCTCTTCATCCTCCTCCTCCTCCTCCTCAGCTCCTGAACTGCTCTGGCTCCTACTGTAACGCTCATCTTGAGAGCTCTGAGAGCATTCTTCATCAACCAAGTCATCCTTTAAAGATAAGAAAAACTCTTAGATCATTCAAACTAACACCTTGAAAAGTCATTAGAAATTTAGACTTACAACATCGCCACGATCTAGTAAATCCGCTTCTTTATTGACATCACTAACTGTTCTAGTGTGATGACCAGAGGGTTTACACGGATATAGGTAATCAATAACGCACACCATTATCTGTTGAAATAAATTTTCCATTAAACATAAGCATCTCACTGTCCAAGTGAACTGATGGAAAAAGATCATTTGTGGTTTAAAAGTATAAAACTTACCAAGCCAAGAAGTGCTCCAAGCACAATGGTAGCTACAGCAAATATCAAGTAAGAACCCCAAGTGGGCAATCCATAATCTTCCATCAAGCGGTTGTGAACAGCCTAATCAGCAAAATTAGAGAATGATTATATACTGTCAACTAGTATTTTAGAAAGAAATAGCAGTCAAAAATGGCAATATGAGAACTAATTTAAAAGCTAATGGAATGGTAAACAATTAGATTGAAACTTACACGAAGCAGTTGAGATAATTTAAAGAAATAGGCAGTAGCCCCCATGTGGAAGGATGCAGGTGATTTCCATGATGGGATAGGCTCCAAGGTTTCCCATTTCTTTTGTTCAATGAAAGTCATGAATGAATCTTTGTCTCGAGTGCCATGGTATTGACGGAACTCACCATTGAGAACACTGAATTCAGGGGGAAAAATTGTATTATTAGAGCATTCCACAATTCACAAAGAAATCATATTTCAGAAAATAAATGTGCACCACACTTACTGGTAAATGGTTGGCAATGCGGTTACTATAAATCGACCGCTCAATCCAGGAGATGTCGTCACATCAACTTTGGCAACTTTAATACCAAGATCATCACTCCAGCTAGAGAATTCTGTCCAAACTGACTCAAGAGCTCTACATGCTGGACACCATGGTGCGTAACTGCAAGGAGAAAATATGAGGATCACTACAAATTATGGCGATAAGGAATTAAAAATTGCTCAAAACGATGAAAAATGTACTGAAATAAAAATTGGCTGCAGTACATTTTATCAGTGAATAAGACAAAGAAAGGAACTCTTCGATTTATTGTAAAAACCCTGGAAACCACATTTCAGACTCAAGACAAATAAATTATTTTGAGGAAAGCAAGAAAAATACATGGTGTCGGGCTGGGGCACCCGGTAGATGACAACTAGACAGCCGGTCCGGACTTTGACAACACTTACAACTCAACCATCCATTCATCCGTGAGCATTTGTTCCCAGTTGTCTTCGTGCAGGTTTATCACTTTACCTCGTCCCCACACATCACTAGGATAAAGCGCAAGTGTCAAAGACACTAGCAAGACAAACAATTTCAGCGAAACGCCCATGATTTGATGGACAAACGCCTAGGAATTTATTGGTTAGTTACGGAACTGCGGAACTAGCGACAAGCAAGAACTCAGTTCGCCATGTGGGAGGAATGACGTCACTTTTTATCTAAAAACAGAAGATGAGAAATTTATAGAAGCCTAAAATAGCGTCTGCTGGCATGAGTGTGCTGTTGTTGTTTAGACAGGGACTGGACCATTTGGTTGAGATTTCTGTTAAAAGTTAACGAAATGATTGTTTAGCATTGAGGAATATTCCTCAGTAACGCTCGAAACAAAAATCTCAAATATGAGCAACAAAGAAGAAATAGACCTTTTGGTAAAAAGTCGAGTTGAACAGGTATGTTGAAATTCTTTTCTGAATGATTAAATGTCTTATTTCTCTTTTCTCTTCTTTTCACTTTTCTTGTCGCAGTTCCACCCATTATTAAAAACTTAATTAATTTTTAAGTATCGCAACAGTGACAAATGACTGGTTAAAGGCAGTAGTATTTTTAAAAGTATGCAGTTACCGTAGCTGCGAGTCAGTTTAACATTGTAATTCTGTGAACCTTTTTCAACGTGTTTTGTCTAAAATTTTGCCTGAACTTTTTGTTATAACATGTTTTAACTCGAATCATATTTGTTGATAATTTTCAGCTTGACGCATTGGAATTAGATAAGGAAGTTCTGTACGTTCTGAAGAGCCAAGTAACAAGTGCAATAAAATTTCTACCGGTGAGGTTGATTACCAGTAGCTTCTACTAAATGCATGTTTACTAACCAGTGAACATTTTTAAATGTTTCATATTTTTGTCTTAGCTATCATTTCAAAACAAGTGGGAACCAGAAGTTGATACTTTGCTTCAAATTGTCATATTACAGGTATGTTCTCTTACTTTTGTTTTTGCATTTTATTGCTCTGATGGGAATACATTTTTGTATTGGTATTGTTTTAGTTATCATTACGAGGAGTGGGGTCTACATTTGGACAGCAATTGCTAAACATCCAATTTCTAAAATCCCAAAAGAAAACAGCGTTACTGGCAATCATAATTCCCATTTTGCTGAAGTATTTTCATACAAGGGCAAGGGATGTTGCTTTAAAAATAGGAAGTGAAAAACTCATCCAAGTTGTAAGCAATTCCATTTTGTATCTCCAACTTTTGAAAAAAAAAATGTGTTTGTATTCTCCTTGCATTGCAAGACTAATCTTAAAATTCTTTGTGATCCAGCTTGAGACAGCAGCACGATGGGGAGACATTTCCATCACTGCTGGAAGCCTTATAAATTTACTGCTATTTTTACATTCCGGGTACTACCCCAATCTGCTTTATCGTCTATTTGGCATTCAAATGTCTTACTCATCTCCAAAGGGCAGGCAGAGACAAGTTGGTTACACTCACATGACGCGAGAGCTAATATGGCACAGCTTCATTGTAAGAAAATCTTTACCATTGATAAATCTTGTTTGCTGTGGTTTGCGCATACTTGAATGTTGTTTTGGTGTGTTTGCAGGAGCTGCTGGTCTTTGTTTTGCCTCTCATTAATTACCACTACATAAAACGATTGGTACTCAAGATTTTGATGTTGGGATCTACAGGTCCCAAATTAAAGCCAAGTGCAGGGAATACAGTTTCCCTTACTCTCAATTCAGCATGTGCTGTTTGTTCGAAACGACCGATTCTCCCACATCATATGGACTGTGTTCATGTTTTCTGTTATTTTTGCCTTCAGGTAAGATTAAAGAAGCATGTAATGGCGCCCTTTCATGAGAGTAGTGGCTCTTTCATGGAGCAGTAAAATTATTTCTTGTTCCAGGCAAATATTTTAGCTGACCCTAACTTCGCCTGTCCAGAATGCGGTAATAGGGCGTCCGGGATGGTATCAGCTAAACCTGTATGCCTGACAATCATGTGATATTTTGTGACATACTATGGCTACTTGTTCATTCCCAATGTTTTTTATGTCTGTATAAATAACAACTGTTACAAGAATTAGTTAGTGAATAAATTTAAACTTTATAGTTTTAAATAATAAGTTGATATAACAGAAGTATTTTAATTTTGAAATATGAATTCAAAAAATCAAGCATTGGCTACATTTATATTTATTTAACTGATTTTAGCGTGCTAAATCACAGGTATTGCACTCTAAAGTATTTATCAACAGTCAAAGATACAGTCCATCATACAGTCATTCACATACTGTCACTCACACAGATATGAAATATATAGAAAGTACAACGAGAGCAGAGCTAAAACACAATCATCTTTAAAATGTACAATAACAAAAATCAGTAGTAGAAGGGCAGAAACTTAATGTATACAGGTACACACCTCATTAAAACAATTACTAATATAATGAAACGGTTTTCAACAAAGGATGACACAGTGAAAAACCAATTAAGACAGTGGAGTTATACAGTCAGCTTATCAAAGACAAATGTAACATCCAGCATGTAACGTCCTAATCTTTTTACACTTCATAGAATTCATGAGCATAAGTACATGCATGTGAGCAAATAGGAAGTGATTGCACAAGAGGCTCTCAGGGAACTTATTACTACTTGTCACATTCTATAATATAAATAGACTACAACCTAACTATTTACTTTACTTTCATCACTTTCCGTGCCCTTCTTGGGAGGTTGCTTGTCTTGCGCTGCAAGTTCTGCATCAAGTCGTTCTTTCGCTCTGTACACTTTGGACTGGAGATAAAAGGATCCTCCCTTCGCTTTGTCGTTAATTTTAAACAGGAAGTCATACTTCTCCTGGAGTTCCTTGGGGTCTATATGTTGGTCTTTGATGTTAAGGATTTGCTTGGCCTCCTCAATAGTTATCCCACTTTTGGCACTGGTGGCCGCACTCTTGGCCCCTTCCCGACCTCCCCCTGCTCGCTGTGCCGCTTGTTGACTGGCAGCTATTTCCTGCTTCAGCGCTCTAGTGAAGGCACGCCCCACGGCCGTAGCGCCCACCATGATGATCTGCACGATGTACTTGGCCATGGCTGCGATGACAGCACAAGCAACTCGGTTTTTCAAGGAAAAATTGCAAAACGACCTAAAGAGTTCATAACCTCAATCATTTTCCGAAGCAGAACACGCCTTGCATCACCCTTTCGTTTGTGAAGGACCTCAACGCCGCCAACATGCGAAAAGCTACGAGTGTCATTGTGTAGTGTGAAAGTCCTTCGGGTACTGAGAGTTTCTGATACATCTTCAATTAAAAGTTCGAAATCATATTATAATTTTCTATCATCTCATAGAGATTTTACCTTTCTCTTATACTAATAAAGGTATTCAAGCACAAAATGTAATGTTGTAAGGTTGCACATTGGCCTCTTTTCAGCTTCGCCAACATTATAAAAGTTTTCATTGCACAATCGTTTTTACCCTTAACATTAATTGTGTTTACGTGTAATTGCTGCTAAGTTTTCACTTTTAGATTAAAAATCTTGGCTTTTATTAAAAGGGTATCTCAATTTCATTTTTTCTCCTTTTGATTGAAAAATCTTTTAGCTTGCACTTGTATTTTCTCTAAAGAGGGCTGTGACCAGCCACCCTCGTCTCTTCTGTGCACAGCAGACGATATTTTGATAATATGAAACGTCTTACATTGGTCCGATTTCGTTCTACAATCGTCTGAAATTGGAAAATATTGTTTAAGATTTCTTTCTTGTTAGAATTGAGACGTTGCCTTGTTCACTACTGGTTCCATTCGAGGATAGAATATTCGCTTGTATCGTCGAACACGTCCCAGATTTGTGACGGGTTCCTTGAAGTTCTCTAAGTGCTATTATTCGTGCCTAAACTGATAAAAAGACATTTTGACATAAATTTCTCTGGGCTGAAGTCTCAAGTCTGCAATGGTTTCGGCTTACGTCGTCAAGGAGAGTGTAAGTGTAATATTTAGATTCTAAGAAAATAAACTGACATCCACAAGTACCATAGCCTAGACTGCAAGTAGGACAACTTGTTTGACAACCAACTTCTGATTATTATTTTTGTTTCTGATTCTTTATTAATTTATATTATACCACTAAAATTTGCAAAATGGAAATAAAATATGATTCAAGTGTTAATGTTAATTTTTTTCCTCTCGCATTTCTAGGTCCTGTCGAGATATACCCTTTGTGACAATTGATTATACTGAGTGAATTGCCATGAATAGTCAAAGCTTTACATTAGCAGAGAGGTTAATTCCCTCTACATACCTCCAGCAAGCTGCAGCCTCCAAGAAAACACGAGAAAATCTTATTCGTCAACTTATTGAACAGGTGGGTATATGGTTAGGTTTTAATTTTGGTTGTGAAGTGAAATAGCAGTTTCTATCTACTAAAACTTACTACATATATGTATTTTAATTGAAAATGAACCACTTTATTTTCAATACAATTTAACCATTTGCCTAAATCGAATCAGAATTAAGAATTTGATGTGCAGAACTGGACTCACAGTTTTATATCTTTTTCAGAGAAAATGGCCAGAAGAAGGATGGGACGATCCTACAATTGAGTTGTTGCTTGCAGACTTAGCCCAAATGGATAGCAACAATTTTCCTGATAATTGTGGTATTGGTGAAAGGGAAGCTAGATTTGCATCATGTAAGTTTCTGATGACAGTCAACACTTTCCGTCTGTAATTGTGGGAAACTTAATCAAATCTTCTTGATCTCCTCTTTTAGCACTTGTTGCTCGTCGACATTATCGGATCGGGCATGGTATTGGAAGATCTGGTGATTTAGGAGAGGTTCAGCCCAAGGCTGCAGGATCCAGTCTTATGATGAAACTTGTGAATTCCCTTCTACTTGATACCATTCGATACATGGGTACAGTTGCACTTTAGTAGATTTTTTTGGTAGTGTCAGTTTTGAATTTGTCTAATATTTGTGGTGCATTTTATGTTCAGGTGTGAAGACCACTGCTGGGTGTTTCATGGTACCTATGGCTACAGGCATGACATTGGTTTTGTGTATGTTGACTTTAAAGCAAGACCGCCCTGGTGCTAAATTTGTTCTTTGGTCTCGAATTGATCAAAAAGCATGTTTTAAATGCATTTTAACTGCAGGTATTTGCTACGTAGCATTATTTTAAGTGTAAATTGAAGAGTGTCCTTATATATGGTACACCGTAAATGTTTTAAAAAAAAGGATATGTCTTTGCTAAGCTATTCTTTAATTTTTTTCAGGCCTTCAACCTATTGTAATAGAGACAGTAGCTTCTGGTGATGAACTCAAAACCGATTTAACAGCCATGGAACACCAAATGTGCACAATAGGATCTGACAATATTGTATGTGTTTTGACAACGACTAGCTGCTTTGCTCCTCGTGTGTCTGATTCCTTAGAGCAAGTTGCTGTCCTCTGTCAGAGGTTTAACATTCCTCATCTTATTAATAATGCATATGGTCTTCAAAGTTCTCGTTGCATGCATTTAATACAAGAAGCTGCAAGGTTAGTTATTGTGATAATTTTCTTAGGCATTTTAATAGTACTCTACTTAATTAATCTTATTTTTTAAAAAAATTGACCCTAAGGGAAAGAATTAACTTGTACTTTCTGTGCGTGCGTTTTAGGAAAGGAAGAGTAGATGCTTTTGTTCAGAGTACTGACAAAAACTTCATGGTACCAGTGGGTGGAGCCATAGTCTCCGGTTTTGACAAAGGGCTTCTTGAGCGTGTAGCTAGAATTTATCCAGGTATGCCCCATTTTAGAGTTCTGACCATATTTTCTTCCATGACCACAATGTCCACATGTTAAAATTTTCTGAATATTTTCTTCAAGGACGAGCGTCATCGAGCCCGGCGATTGACGTCTTCATAACTCTGTTGTCTTTGGGAATCAATGGCTACAAAAGTTTAGTCACCCAACGAAAAGAAATGTATAATTACTTACGGGATGAACTTTCTAAAGTTGCCACAAAGCATGGTGAAAGGCTACTAGATACAAAGAACAACCCAATTTCAATGGGTAAGGTTTAGAAACTCTGCTTGTTCTCATGTGTATGAACGGTTGTTTGCTGTCTGTCAATCACCCATCAACTTGTTATTTTCTTTCCAGGCATGACTCTTAACTCATTGGTTACATCAGATCCCAAGTCTGTGACAATGTTGGGTTCAATGTTGTTTCTGCGGTGTGTTTCTGGAACGAGGGTAGTGTCAACAGTCGACTATAAGGAGGTTGCAGGGTACAAATTTGAAGGTCCGTAAAGAGCATACTCTCACATGTTTTTATTTTTTTCTCTCTTGTTTTTTTTTTTTACTTTCTTATAACTCTGTGGTGTTCTCTATCTCTCCAGGTTGGGGTGCACACACAAGCAAGTACCCCGTGCCCTACCTGACGGCCGCTGCCGCCATCGGCATGCAGAAGTCGGATGTGGACCAGTTCATCAACCGGCTGGACAAGGTGATGAACAAGCTCAAGGGCCGCAGCGCGCCCCAGACGCCCACGTCGGTGGAGGAGCTCGCCATGGGCGGCCGCCGCTCCAAGCGCTCTATGAACGGCGAGGTGAGCAGTAGCAGCGACCGGGAGCGGAGCGAACGGAGCGAGCGGGGCGAGAGGGAGCGGGAGCGGCGCTCCAACCGCGGTGGTGGCGGTGGCAGCCACGGGGGTAGCCACGGGGGTAGCCACGGGGGCAGCTCCCTGGACGGGGAGACGGGCAGCAGGAGCCGTGACGAGGTCCGCCCGACGGCAGGCCGCTCCAGCAGGGGGCCCGTGGGAGCCTCGCCCTCCCTCAACGGAGAGGTGAGTAGCAGACCGGCTGGAGGCCTCCAGGAGGCAGCAGAGCTCATCCCCACTTTTGTTTGTCACTTTCTACGTTTTCAATCGATTATTTTTGTAGGTGAGTGTGAGTGGCAGTGGCAGCGGTGGCGACGTTCGCGCAGACATAAACTCCCACAACAGCAGCAATAGCACCTCACTTGCCAGCAGCAAGGACAGCCTGCGCAAGTAGTCACTCTCCTTATTTCTATGACTGATGTGCTGTATAGGGTGGGGTACAATTTTGACCTTGCGGATGAGGACATTGTTAGTGAGCCATGTCATTTTACTTAAGTAGATTAGTAGCCATTTTACTTGATATCTCTTATTGTAGGTGTACTGGTCAGATCTAGTCAGATATTATTGTTATCACAAGGAATACTTTGTGAATGCCACAGGATATGAAAGTATTCTTCCAGGTTTTGTTGTTGACACTATTCATGTTTCAGTTAAAATACTTGATTTAGATGATATAGAATGCTTTAAACAATCACTAACACTGTTCAGTTGTTAAAAACACATCAGATGCCAGTTGGTGTCACATAATGATGCAGTGTGTGTGCTTGTACTTTGCCCTGAGCAGTGAAACACTGTTTGAAGTAATACCATTTATGGACAGTATTAAAAGAGCACTCTCAAAGAATTGGATTGGAAACTTGCCATTAAAGTTATTGCCTTAAAATTTAATTGATTAGAGCACAAATGATTGAGTCTTCACTCTTAGCCTTGTGGCACCATATATTATGCATAATCTCTTAGGAATGTGAATGAAAAAGAGGGTCATTGGAAAAAAATCTGTGCAAGTAGAAAAAGGACTACTATTGCAACAGAGGGGGTGAGTAAAGGATACAGTGTCATAAAACAACTCCCAATATGGTATACAAAAAAAAAAATTTGGGCAAGTAGCATTGGTTTGGTCTTGGTCTGGTTTACATATTTATTTTAAATTCTCATTTTTGTGATCTAGGAATATCTGTATTGTTCCAGATTTTATTTTGTTCACCTACCTCTTTCACATTGCAGCCCTTGAGCTTTACCTACACATAATTTGCATTTAGTTTCAACTTCTCTTATCTAGTTCCCACTTTGGTCTAATTTCTCCTCTTTATTGCTGTTGAAATTTAATTAATGGTATACTTTCTAAAACATGAGTAATAAATAAAATAGAATTTGTTAGCTGTGGTAGCCAGAACAAGATTATGGCACATCCCTCTGGTAGAACTCTTCAAAGTAAACAAAGGTAGAGTCAGGTGTAGCCCCATTGTGTCCTGATTGTACTATACCTATTCCTGGCACTGGTGCGTCTGTGTAATTGGTTGCTCAATTTAGGTTTGTAATGAGTAAATTTACTTTTATTTAATTGTTAAATTTGAGTGCCATTGTTTATTATTCATGTTAATAATTAATACATAGGTGGTAATTTACTATTAGTTTCTGCAAAGCCACTTGCCTTCTTCATGTGGAAGTGCTTTTTTTGTCTTTCAATACTTAAAGTGCTATGAAAAAATTGCTTTTCAAATGCCCTTAAAAAATTATTTCTATATCTTTGTTTACTTTGTTGTCATGCTTTTTCCTTTTATTTAGTCTTTAAGATGAAAATTCCACTTTTTTTCCTGTCCTGATCCAAGCAAGAAGTTTAATTTGAGCTCAAAGGGACCATGATGGAGTGTTCAAATTAGTTGTTTAGAAGATTTGTATTTGAGGTGTATAGTTCCATTTCATTGTGATTGTCCTCTTGGAGTAAATACCTCGTTTACTACGACGAGGATAGATTTTACAATTGGTGTTTTTGTTATTGATGTAACATTGAGCTCTAGCTTCAAGTACCATACCAGTATTGTTAAGGATTACTGCTTCCTTTCCTTATGTTTATTTATTTATTTGTTTGTTTTCTATTTATTTACTCATGGTATTTTCATTTTTGTAAAAGGATCACTTTTATTTGACTGGAGGGGGTTTAGCTCAGCAATCATTTTCATTCTCTTTCAGCACATTTCATTTAACTGACCCTGCATTTATCTTGCCTGTCTGTTTGTGTTATACAAACTCTCTATTTCATCGAAAGATCTGAATATCTGCTTCTGTAGCGCTGCACGTGTCTGATGCACTTAAACTTGTGATGCTTTAACTTGGGTTTCTATACCTTCCTTTTAGTAGAGGATAAATTGGCAAATTGGTAAATAATCTTCATACTGCTTGATTCCTGAGAAAGTTTGGATCTTGTGGACCAAGCACCTTGCTGGTAACTTAAAATATGTTTGATTTTAGCAAAGCATCAAAAACTGCTCGGAATTTAAAATTTTAAGTAATTTACATGTATAACTCCATGGATTGGATTATCATTTTACAAGAATTTGACTTTTGCATCATCGAAACCAGACTGGAATTTTATTTTGTTTCAGACTCAGTTATTTGTACTGAACTCAATCAAGCATCATGAACTATTTGTGTATTTGTCTCTGTACAGCAAAAATATATATGTTGTGGACACTTCTGTTTTCTTTTAACATGCTTTGCGCAGACCACTTAAGTTGCTTATTTTATATCTCCAACAATTTTATGGAAGAGTTTTGTTATCTTCCAGAAGTCTTATCTTGATGGTATTCAGCTATATTGTTACAATGTTTGTGCTAATACCAAATCATATTTTTGATCTTTTTTAGCATTATTCAGCCTTTCTGCTGTGTCTTACTTAGTTTTTTGATTGGTCATGTTTTTGTTGGCATATCGGTCAGGTTTTGAACTGAGCTTTGCAGCACATGGCCTCTTTGATAGGGAACATTTATGTAAGACATATTCCATCCAATTATGTCCATCCATAGGACACTTGCATTGTAGGGATCTCTTTACCTTATTTTTCACTTGCAATCTCTTTACTTCCAAATGTATTCCCTTCTATCTGGCTTTAGAATGAGAATAAAACCAAGTATTGGAAACTTATGAATACAGTATTCATAAAGTCCTATTAAAATTTATAGAATTTGTGCTCTTGCACAGTCACTTGATGCTGCCTGCAAGTGCGCCAGTTTCTTTCTATCTCTTTCCCCCTCTTTCTTATCTTCCCCCTCCCTTCATTTTTTAAACAAATGTCTGTTTTTTTCATCCCCACGACTTGACATTTTGATTTGTTGTACATATATGTAGTGCATCAGGCGATGGCTTGGCAGCATTATGTTGTCAGCCGTGCAGAACATTCCATACAATTGATATTAGTGGTAAGGATGCATAAAAATAATCTAGAAAATGCCCATGAAATTAATCTGTATAGGCTCAGAGCTAAAATAGAAGGAATAAAATGAACAGAAATCATTGACAAGAACTAGAAATGAATATTGTCTCATTTTCCAAAGATCAACTATTATTGTGCAGTGAATGCTTAATAGAGACAATATGTTCTGATAGTACTGTATGTGCACTTACACTTGACTTTGGCTGCAAGGTAATGTTTCTTTGCTTTCATGTGCTGAGTTTCATGAACTTTCTTTGCATACCTGCATACCTCTCCTCCTGATCTAGCATTGCACTTTCCGTCGGATTATTGTATTAGGAAGCCAGAGAAGTCTGGTTTGTTATGCCTTCCATTAAAAGTTAAGTGGTTGTTTTTCATTCTCCAATCATATTAGGTTTTGAGAAGTTCAAAATTTTGAAGCAATCTAGTGTAGAGTGGTAATTAACTTTTACTATTGTCTAATTAGGAGCTAGAACTTGTGAATACAGTATCATGACTTACAATTAGAATTTTTCATTTTGGTCTCGTAAAACTCGTAAATTCTAAGAAAGACCGGTAAAACTGATGTGTGTTTTTTCCCTTTTTTCTTTATTTTTCTTTGTGAATTTGTACACTGTATGTGGCTTGGTGGTACTCATTTATGAGCTGAAAGCAATTAATGAAAGCACAATTTTACTCATACCAAAATAATTGCTTCTTTCCATTTGACATGGAAAAATCTCTTTAATTTCACATTGCTCATTCATTGTTATAAGGGGAACTGAAACTCCAATCTACTGTACTTAACTTTTAATTATTTGTCTCCTCAGGACTATTATTCCTCAAAATTGGCAGCATTCGCTTGCTTCAATAAAAATTGTCTTTTCAATATTTAAGGTTCCTCCTTTAAGGCCTATTTTGAAGAAAATCAAATCAAACACAAACTTACTGCTTTTTGAACTGATGGAGGAGGTACCTTAAGAAAGAGAGTTGTATATTTTGCACAACTGAAGACATCATTTGAAGACTGATTGGTTCAAAGGGGTAACATGATGTTTTAATATCTAGGAATTCACTGATGTGCTTTGCAGTTCATTGCAGGTAATCAGTATGTGATGATTTAGTCCACATTTTTGAAGTTACTGTACAATCATCTGTGCAAGTATTATGCGCAGGAAGGTACATATAGTTTTAAGGCAGTATTCTAATAAATGTGTTTCTTTTGTCTTTTTTGTTATTTTGCTGCTGTGGATATTTTGTTAGGCGTGTTAGAGTGTTAAAGAATTTTATCTGATTTATGTATGTATTTTTAAGATTTTTGATTGTTCTTTGCTTGTGTGCTTTAAGCGATCAGGTTCTCATTCTTTAACTAGTTTTATCGGTAGTGGAACACTTGTTGATATCATTTATCACATTCTGGTCTCCTAAAATGTGCATGAAGTTTACGGTTTTAGTTTCTTAAATAACAGAGCACATTCTTGGGTACGCATCTCCATTTTTATTCCTACAGCTGCAACTGTTGTAGAAGTTATCACACTGTTACTTGTGCAACAACATCACCACCAAAAGAGGCTACTGTCTCATTTTGTAATTTCAACTTGCAAATAGCATGTTAATTGTGTTAAGGTACAGCTATGGTGCATAGAAAAAAACCTTTAAAAAAATCTGTTTTGTTGAATTTAAACTACCTGTTAAAAATCAAGGAGTTTTCTTGTCTGTCACTAAGCTCAAGGAAGTGAAGGTCATGAAAGATGAATGTTGACTAGTCATTTGTTTTTATCATTCATCATATGATTGATCATTTGCATTTCACTTTTTGTGATGACTTGATTTCTCACATTTTGTAATATCCTGTTTTCATAACACAGTTATCGAGCACTTATTGTTCCGTAGAGTACTTCAAATTTCTGTTCCTTTTTTGATATTGTATTTGTTGTAGATTGTTAATTAATTACTGGTTGACTTTAAAAAGTTATTTAGGTTTTGCATCATGTGGAGGCAAGTTGAAACTCTTGGTTTTCAGTAAAGTGAAAGTCCCTCAGCTTAATTAGTTGTTTAACAGGTTTAGTGCCAGGTCTCAAAGTACTGGAAGGTGGCTATCCCCATGTGACCATGCATGGGCTCAGTGTTGGCGTGGCACTAAATGTGTTAAAATGAGCTAGCAATATTTTGAATGTATTTTGGTGGTTTTAATTCTGTGAAAGAAACTCACATGATCTATTTATAGTCATGCGCCTGATTGAAGTGATAACATTTTGAAGGGAAGTTTCCCTTATTTCTAGTGCGATGGGAGTACCCATTTTTGGATCAGTATTGAGATTTTCTATGTTCATTTTTAGTGTTTCTGGCAGTGCAATACAACTGTCTCGCCGAGAAGATTTTTGGATTTTACAAATATAAGCTCTAATCATCAATTATGCCTGTTCTAGAGAGGCCAGTAGATTAATGCTTTTATACCTGAAGGTAATTAACACTACTGTATCTTCACTACCATGTAAAACCCATGCACAAGGTCCTGGAGAAATAATTTTCTAGCTCTTGGATAATAATTAACATTTTATTGACCAGCTCTTTGCATGTTAGCAGCAATCCCTTTATTGGTTCTTCTACTTTCATATTCTGATCTCTACAGGAATTTCTTGTGACACCTCATTATAATGTATGCTTATTATTGCATGAGCAAGCTACAATACTTTTTTTAAAGTAGAAATCACAGAATTCCTTACAGTCACTTTATGAAGAAGCTTAGCTAAATTTACTCTATGGAACATGTCTACTGTCATATTGAATTTAACTGTCACCATCATTGATATTGATCTATTCTGACATCATTGTTAAGCCACTTAGAATGTATTTTATGTGCAAAAACTTGATTGTAAATAAAATTTCCGCCCTGTAGTAAAAGTCATAATTATTACGAGAATCATTGTTTTACAAACTTAGCAGTCCTCCATCTCCCCCATCCCATTGAAGTGGCCAGCGATACAGGTAAAAAATTATAATTACAAAATTCATTGGATAATAATCCCATTCATACATTTAGCATTCCTGTTCCGTGTCTGAGATTGCAGCTACAATTTGATAGCAGGAAGCAAGAAGGCAGTACATTTGTAATTATAGCCATATAGAATGAAACAAGTAAATATAATCTGCCCCTCTTTAGAGATCTAATACTCGTCCGTGCTTTATTCCTTGGCACCAGTACTTTCAACGGCAATTGGGTGGCTTCTTCTAGTGTGGCTGTTCAAGTTGGAGCGCTGTTTGAATCTGCAGTCACACTTCTTACAAACGAATGGCTTTGGCGTCCCCCTCAGTCCCGCTTCCGCATGGCACCTCATGTGGCTCGCTAGTCCCGCGGCCGACTGGAACACCCCCGAGCACGCCGAACACCTGCACCGAACACCTAACGGTAGTACAACACCAGCAGGGTACACTGCGGCCAGATACGTGCAATACGTGGCAGCTTGGCTGTCAACCGGGGGATACTTCACTCCAAAAAAAATCAACGTAACACCCATCCCGCATCCACCAACCACCCCCAGGTGGAACACAATCGTCAAAAACTCGTCACTGACGCTTAGTTGACGTGAAAAAGAGCTAAATCTGGCTACCTAGCCATAGTAAATTTTGACGATGAGCGTCAACCACAGGCCATTTTGACAAACCTGTTCTAGGTGCCCCCTCCCCCCCCCCCTTCTCAAGAAAACAAGGGGGAAATCAGGAAAAAAGTCAAGGAGAAAAATCAATTAAAAATCAGAGAAAATCAGGAAAATTGCTTTTAAAAAGTCAAGAAAAGGCAGAAAAATTGGTGTACGCTTGCATCTGCTCGTACAACTGTGTTGTTCTTTCGTCAGTACTACTTTAAAGGACCCCTCGCCAACTCACTGGTGCTGCTGCGGCTGGTGGTGCTCCGGGTGCATGGCCCGGCTGTGCGCCTTGACGTGTGACTTGAGGGTGAAGCGGGCGCCGCAGTGCTCGCACGCGTGCGGCTGGCTCTCGGTGTGCGTGGCGCGGTGCTCGGCGAGCAGGTCGGGCCTCTTGAAGGTGGCCATGCAGGCCGGGCACTGGTAGGCGCGCCGGTCCGAGTGCGCGTCCAGGCGGTGCAGCAACAGCTGGTAGCTGGTCGGGAACAGGTCCTTGCAGTCGCAGCACGTCAGCACGAGGTACAGGAACTCCTCGTCCGAGGACGAGTCCTGACGCGAAAGCGGGGAGCGGCCTGCCTGGAGTAAGGCGCTCTTGTTGTTGTTGAGGGCGTCGTAGTCCAACGACTTCCTGGCCGTCGTCACCTCCACCACCTGAGGAAACATGCCGTCGTTACTGGCCGGGGAGAGGCGAGACAGTTGCAAAAGGAAGTGCATCCAGTAAAACTCTGGCTTACCTCATCGTCCGTCAACATCAGAGAATCGGCAGAGGCAGCGGACCTGCTCCTGTGAACACAAACACACTAAATGAAACTGGAGTCCGGCAGACTCGCGGCAGCAGAAGACAGATGACCGAGTGCGCAGCGTTAGCTCTGTTTACATCCAGCCGGAGGGAGCTATAGGGGAGGGGGGAAGGGGATGGTGGAGATGGAGCGCTCTGGCTGGAGTAGCCAGGCAATGCTCAAGATGCAATGCAGGTGGACGGGGTGCAAATTTCGTCTCTGATCACGTTTCGTATCGTGCTTTACGCACGAAAGTGCTGAAACAATAGCTGTTAAAATGAGTAGCTTTACCTCGGGAAGCACATGTCGAGTTTCCACGGAGAGTCTACCCCGTCCAGGCACCGCAGGCCTCGCGCGGCTCTGCGGGTAAAGGGGCGCCCCTCGATGGCCGCCGCCACCCTCGGGTCGTAGCGCAGGACGGCCGAGCGCAGCAGGGCGCGGATCGGGTCGTGCGGCGCGCCCGCGCTCGCGCTCAGGACGGTCCAGAGCGCGGAGGGCCTCAGCTGCACCCAGTCCAACTGCGTGCGGCAGGCGTGGCCGAGGCCGCCGGCGCCGCTCTCTGTCGACGAGAACAACAGGCCCCTCCTGGTGAACAACTCTGTGCGCTATGGTCACCTCCCCACCTTGTCTCGCCCACCCCACCCACACCCAGACCCACCTGCTATAGCTGCCGCCATGTAGGATCTGTTCCAGAACAGCCTTGCCGCCTCCAGGTATCCATCTGGGCGCAGGATGGGCCGCTCTAGTGCCAACTGCCGCTGCAGAACAACAAAGTAGCAAGTTATTACTAATACTAAAAGATGACTTCATTCTCTCAGCGCAGCCAGCCCTAAAGGCGATGCGCGACTCACCGGCAGAGGTTCGTAAGGGCAGACCGTCGTCTCCCTCGCCCGCAGGCTGAGCTCCCCGAGGATTCTCTCCAGATTCGCTCGGAGATCACACAAAACTGTCACCCTGGAAACAAAAAAAGCAACATAACGTCAATATGTGTGCGTCGCGTGAAGCAAGCCGTCGGCGGCCTCGGTCCTGCGGTGGTGTTTAGCCGAGTCCTCACCTCCTGTTGGCAGCACCGAAGACGAGCGAGACGATGCCCGTAGTTTTGTTGGTGGTGTCCACGGCCGGGAGCGGCCAGCCCACGTAGAGGACCGCCTTGTCGCAGGGCGGCGCGGCGCGCACCACGGCCAGCACCTCGTCGACGTCCTCCGCCTGGAAGCGCTTGCCACGCCACAGCGGCCCCCACGCCCAGTCGGCCCGGGTCACCGCGCCCACCTCCTCCGGGAAGGCCTCGGCCGCGGCCGCCACATCGGCGGGCTCCAGGAGGGACAGCACGTGGAGCAGCGCGTCGGGGGGCAGCGCCGGCAGCAAGCCCGCCGGCCGTGTCCGCAACTGTTGTAGAAAATGTTGGCAGTTTTACTGAAAACTTTTATACAAAAAACTGTGGCACTGCACTAGGAATTATAATTTTCCAGGAAAGAATTTTTTGGGAATTTTCAAAAATATTTTGTACACTTCTAATATTTTTCTTCAAAGTTATGTTTGTGTTCTGACAAATTATTCTGGAAATATGTCTTCTTTTCAACAAAAAATTCTGGTAAAGTTTCAAAGTTTTCCGGAAAAAATTTGCACTTTAAAATCACTACATCACTCGACGCCTTGCGCGCTAGTGCTGCTGTTGTACGGGTGCTTTACCTGCTGCTTCGCGGCGATGTCAGTCGTCCCGGGAGAGAGTCCGGACGTCCGGGCCACCTTGGACAACGACATGGCGACTTTGACGGACGAACAGCTGATCGGACAAGACGACGACTTGGGAGGGATGATGACGACGACGACGTCTTCGCTGTGCCGAGTGCTCTCCCCGTGACAGCCCAAGACTGACTGCAAGTGTGCGCTTTAAGCGCGCCGGACCCACCCCGCCCGCGCGACCACCGCGGCGTGTGTTTGGGTCCAGTGCGAGTCGCTGTCCAGTCCATGACGTCAGGTGGTGGTGGTCGGGGGTGGCGGGCGTCAGCAGTTCTCGACGGCCCGGCGGCCCCCGGCCCTGGGCGGCGCACGTAGTCCACCACGGCCTCACTCCGGCTCTGGCGGGAACGGCGCGACGGTGGCCCTTCTCCTCTCGCAGCCCGCCCACTGCACGCGTATCGGCTGTCCCCCTGGTCTTCGCGTGGCCTTCCCCTGGCGTTGCACATTTTCAAACAGAACGGCAATACCGCGCGCCCCACTTCCATCGTCGCCAGCACAAAACGCGCGCCTCGCGTAAGGAGACACCTCGAGGCCAGCAGGCGCTTCTCCTAGGGGACCAGGCGGGCCACGCTTCCCTCAGGTCCCAAACAACCAGAGCAGCAGCAGCACGGCTCTCCACGTGTGTAAGTAGTACAGGGGCGGACTGGCCAGGGTGGGAAGGTAGGCTTTCCCGCATGAAAAAAGTGTAACCAAACCAAAAGTGTAGCATGCTATTCTACTATACTTAAAGGAAAGGCAGTGCTACACTTCGGCTACACTTTCGATGTGGGTAACACGACATGGCCTCCTCTCAAAGAGGTAACCCCATGCGGGGACCCCTTTGTGCCTTTCACCTACCACCCGTGTATGCAGGCAATTTTGGCAAACTTTGCCCCTGTGCCGTGTGTCGGGGCTTAGGACACAACAGAGTGTTGCGGGTGTGCATTCCCTAGAGGGGCCATGGCGCCTTACGGGCAGAGCGAGTAGGCAACCCAGCATCTCCAAGCAAAATGTTGTGCCGTGGCCCTGGCACACGGGACGGTATATAGGGCAATTTCCACCGGGGCCCCGGACTCCCCCAGTCCGTCCCTGTTTAGGCAGGCAAAAGGCGTAACGTCGTCCCCTCCCCCCTTCTTTTCACCCCGACCGGGCCCGTTGAGGCCCAACCCCAAGAGAGTGTGCATACCATGGATGAAGAGTGCTCTGGTGGAAACAAGAGACTACAGAGTCTATAGTCAGACTGTACAAGTCTCATTGTGCAAGCGCGCACCCGGCCGCGACACTGCCGTGCGCTCTCTGGCACACTCAGAGACTTGTCTCTGGGCACACTCGGGTCATCGATCTCAGCAAGGAGCAAGGCGCAATCAGTCTCTCCACCCTCCACCGCACCAGTGCAAGTGTGCAAGGGAAGGGGTGGTGCGGGGTAGTGGTCTGGCAGGTCAAACCCATAGAGTCGTGAGGAACCATTCAAGTACAATGGATTGAATTGAACACAGGACGTCACTTTGACGTATTGTATATCATTAAATTTGATGTCATTATGAGATCAAATTGGTGTGATAGTGACAATACAAGTCTGATATCAATTTTGACATAACAAGTAATATACCACTATTTCATCGATTTGATCTCAAATAAAATGAAATATAGAATGATTTGAAACAGTGAGTCGTCCGTCTCCTAGTTAGGGTTGGGGGGGGGGGCTAGGCCTAAACTACCTACGCGCCTCCAGGGTTGTGCAGGCGCGGTATAAGGAGGGGGCGACAGGGGGGGCGATGCACGGTGGGTTGCCTACATACAGGGGTTTTGTAGCGCAAATTGCTTACCTTTCCGGCGGCTCACTAGAGACAATGGGGGGGGGGGCGCCCCCCCCCCCCCCCCGCCCCCCTTATACCGCGCCTGGGGTTGTGTCCCAATGCTCATTTCCGGATCGGCCGGCGCGGGTCGGTCGGTCGGTCGGTCGGTCGACGTGAGAGAGACGGATAATGTATGCATTAATGGGCACTTATTTCCGTCGTATCGACCGACCAACCCGGAGCTGGACTAGTCGACTGGGGGTGAGAATTGGGACGAAGCCCAGGGAATGCCCCCCCCCTCCACTTTCCCCACCCCCACCCCCGGAGCCTTACGTTCCTCGCGATAGGATCCAACGAGGAACGCAAGGGATCGTCGAGAAAGAACGTCCGCCATTCTCCGTTACTGCCGTTACGAACCTATGCCAAGTTTAGCCTGTGCAAGCCCTCTCAGCGCCTGTATGTAGGCAACATCACGCTCGCAGTACGTGCGTGTACTGCGGGATGGCCTACCCCGAGTCTCACAGGCGCTCAGCTGAATGAATCTGAGAAAAACGGACCTACTTTCTGGACGTTCCCTAAGGCTCCGGGAAACGATGTCGCCGTATGTCCCTATTTGTGGCCACAAAAATGTGGCCACAAACAGGGACGTTGTCGCCGTTGTGAGGATGAAAGTTGAGTCAGGGTGAGAATACGGCAGTGTGTTGTGGGTTGTCTACCCAGAAGTCTGCAGGCGGTTCTTGACTTTGACCTTGATTCCCGGTGTTCCAGAAAAATTCAAAATCAGTCGATGTGATGGAGGGGTAGAATATTATTTTTTTCCGGTCACAGTGCACCGTGTCACGGGTTAATTTGACGGCGGAAACTTCATGCCTGTTGCACCACTACCTTTTTGAATGTGTAAGCAGCCTCAGTTTAGAAGAACAATTGCATTCGACACTGTGCGGTGACAGCTTGATCTAGTTTTTAACCACCCAGCCGATGGACACCCTAAATATGTCCAATGTAGGTAGACCCGTAACAGAACACAGGCGGTTTCCTCTGCGCCTTCAATGGTCCCACGATGGACCAGACCAGACAACACGATCCGTAAAAAAAAAAAAAAAAAAAAAAAAAAAACGTCGTTAAATCTGCGATTTGCGATTTGGTGCTGCGGGTCTGCCGTTGATTCTGACTGCTGACTAGAAAATTCTCCCGATACTGACAGTTTCTTGTTCTTCCTCTTCAAATCACGCGCCATTTTCGCCATGGACGTAAGCTCCATTCAAAGAAGGCGGCGCTGCGTGCGCGTGCGCATTGCGCACATGTGCTTGTGCTCTTCTTTGACGGAGATCTTTCGTTTAGCCTTGGGCTCAGGGGTTAGAAGATTTTCAAGGCACCCCTGCCGAAAATCTCTAGTTAAATTTACGCCAAAATGGACGACGAAGGCCCGAGGTCCTATTCCAACAGTGACGTGAACATTCCAGGTGAAACCAACAGTACTGAGAACCCTGGGGAACATGAAAACTTCCCAGAGCGGCTCCAGACGAAATTGATCCGGATGAGAAGTGTTGTTTTGCATTGCAATGTACAAAAACATCATCATCACACTTGTCCAATAATAAAAATTGATCAGATTCGTCATATCCCTTGATTCTTGTTTGTTCTGTTTGCTGACTATCTAGTTAGTCATAGTAAATAGCATTCAATTAAGTAATCTTAACCTCTCACAACCCGTGTGTAGTTTTTTTTCTGCTTTTAGAAATGACACCTTTTACTATCATAATTTTGAATGTTAGTGTTTCTATTCTAAGATTCATTTCAATTATACCCTCTGTTTTCTTTCTATTGTTGCAGTCAATGTCACAGGGAACCTCAGACAGCTTTCTCCGTATATGAACTTTGATCCTGTATACCTTCCTCCTAGTCAACCAGAGTTCATATTTCCTGAAGGAGCTTCAAGACAACGTGGAAGATTTGAACATGCTTTTTCTCAAATTGGAGCATCTTGTATGGTTGGAGCAGGCGTAGGTGGCATGGGAGGATTTTACAATGGGTTAAAGATCACAACATTGGCTGGCCAGAAGGGACGTCTGAGAGTAACTCAGTGAGTATTTTTTTAGTTATTTTTTGTTCTGTAATAATTTCACCCTGAATGTTTTGCTATTCTTCATCTTGCATTTGAAGATAATCATTTATTTTCCATAAAGCTTTTAAAATAAATATTTTAAGTCTTTCACTCGATAACAAGATATCTTTCCCAGCCAGAAATGCTACAGTTATAAAACTTCTAAAGCTGGTCTACGTCTATTTTTGTTAGATATAGATGCCAACATAGACGTCTATATGGTCCAAAAATAAACTAAGACCAACTTTAGATGTCTTCTAGATTTAACATTTCTGGCTGACTTATATACATTGTTTACTATTTTAAATTTTCTTTGATAACAGATTAATAAACCATACTATGAAAAAGGGAGCGGCATCAGCCAACACTTTAGGAGTCATAGCATTGATGTACAGTGGATTTGGAGTAATATTATCATATTTACGAGGTGCTGAAGATGAACTGAACACACTAGCAGCTGCCACTTTAACAGGCGTCATGTATCAGTCAACATGTATGTATAAACTTGAAATTCATAAGTTTCACATTTTGAGTTACCATTTTATTTTTTTTTGCTAACGGATCTGTTTTTTTTCTTTCTTTTTTTCCCTAGCTGGATTAAAGAAGTGTGCTACAGGGGGCGCAGTAGGGCTTGGTATTGCAGCAGCGTATTGCTTATGGACCTCTAAAGACCGCTATACTGAATTCAAACGTCAACTTCATCCTCTGTAAGCATTTTTTATGTCATTGCACAATGAAAGATGTTTTATGAAAAAGGTTGAAATCCTAATCTTCTGTAGCTGTAGTCAGTTTGTGATCTTGTCCTTTACTTTTACAAGTCATTAAAATTGTACCTCTTAAAATATTATTGTCCAATTATTGTTTATTATAAGCTTACTGTTCTGCAATTTTTATTGTTAACATAAGTTACATTAAAATTTTGCTTGAGTTTATAAGATGTAATTGTTTTTATTTTCAATGTAGTATGTACAAAGGTTCTTCTGTAGTATTAATTTCTTTCCTTTTTTTTTGCCCCTTAGATCAGAGAGGTAGCAAGTTAATTTGTGGAATTAGTCCCAGACGCCTGCCCTTCTATTTCTCAATGGTAGGTGCTTAGCAAATTTGTTGTAAATTGTGCTTGTAAAGCACATTGCACAAAGCTGACATTACTACTTATCAATCATAATTTGGTTTGATGCAATTTTCTTAAATGAGCATGAGTTTTTTTTGTTTGTTTTTTTGGATCTGCTAAATTCCTTCAATGTTGGACAGTTTCTTTTATACTGTGAATCAATCTTCTGAACTGGATCGAGAACAGTATTACTCATACTCACATGTCCCTTAAGGGTTTGGTTGTTCCTTTTGACTGCAATCAACTGTTCCTATTGTACATTTTTTCAGTGCTTTTAAGCCAAATGGACAAATGGCTAAATAATAATGAAATTGTTTTTGTAAATTCTTTATTTATAAATGAACGTAATTTTTTCCCTGCAGAATCCTCACATTGATAACTCTGACATGTTACCTTTATAATACAAATTTGTATGTGTCATTGTAATACAAAGTCTTCTGTAAATCACAGAAGTACAAGTACATTCCTCACCAAAGTAAAGTCCTTAAAATCATGGATTAGTGCCGTAGTCTTTTAAAACAAGGAACAAGTGATAAATTCATTCTGCAAGTGTTTTCTGGTTCAAACAAAGTCATCCACTAAAGGTTCTACATATAACATATCACAGTCTTTTAAAAATTTATTTATACATTTTGCATACTATCAGAAAAAGAAGTAATGGACAAAATTCAAAATCATGAACACAGTATTTGTGATGACCACATTTTAGATACAATTGTGTTAATAGAAAACTGGCTACCTAATACCTGCAAGTTTCTTAATCAGAAAGCTACTACTGAATTTAGGATTTTATGAAAGTGACGAGTTAAAGGTATACAAACATAAGCCATAAACAATTATTAGTACATGGCTGACTAGATAAGAGCAAAAGTGCATATCACTCAGTTGTCACAATTTTCGCAAGCACACATTGTCATGAAATGTCCCTCAGGACATAATCTAGAATGCCTAGAGTTAGTAAGAGAAAAGGGTGCCAGCATGGCCCTTCCCAACTCACTGTAAGTTTAAGCCAATGTCGTCCAGCTCATCATCTGGAATATATTTTAATCTCACACATATTTCAGAGAGAGACTGATGGAGGGAAAAAGAAATAAAACAATTGATTCATTGAAAATTGGAAGCTATGGCATTTCTGGTTAGCAGTGTGCGTTTTCTGATAGTCTTGATTTTCATAACACCAGTTGAAGACAGATGTAAGTTACAAAAACATACAATGAATCATGAAAATGGTAGTGGAATCCTACAATGCCCTACTTTTCAGTAATAACCCTAAATCATAACAGTTAATTTTTTACTCGTTCTTTACCACCACCTGCACCTACTCAGTGGTAGAAGAACGAGTATTGATCTCAGTGCGATGTCACGCGTAACGCTATTCATGCTCGGAGTACAGAATATGTACACTTATGATACTTGTACCATTCGAAACTGGGAATGTTGTAGGCGTGACCAACAATGGACATTTTTACTCGTTCTTTACCAACCCACTTTCCCTTCTCGTTGGTAGGAAGAACGAGTATTGTTCTCAGTGCTGTGTAACCCTTTTTCTGTTCCTGT